TTTTTGAGGAACTACTGTTTTCCACAGTGAGTACACTATTTTACATTCCCACCAACAATGTATGAGGGTTACAATTTTTCCACATCCTTGCTAACACTTATTATTTTCTAGGTTTTCTTTAAAATAATCGTCATCCTAATTTTATGCACTGTTTTGATTTGGGGAGAAGAGCTATGAAATGCAGTTTGTGGAACTGAATTAGATTTCCCACCTGAGACTTTGTGACAGCTTTTAAAAAATTATCTTTAAATAAAGGCACAAGTAAAATGTAAGTAAACATGAAAAGCTTCTTTATTATGAAAGTAGCTAATTGTGAGAGAGGTGGTTACTAACAGGGGTCATTTCCTAGTTGGGTGGCCTCTGGCAAGTTCCTTTGCCTCTGCCTCTCAAGACCTCAGCCCCAACATCTGTAAATGGGCAAAGTGCCTCCTAGGGCTGTTGGGAGAAATTGGTTTATGCTTTAAACTCCTCAGAATAGTGTCTGGCACTCAGATCAGTGTCAAGCACTATATAAGGGTTAGAAGTTGTTTATCAATTTGGCCAGAACTAAAACATGGCCTCTTCTCTCTCCTTGAGTTTTGTCTTGCTTACCAGAGGTCCAAACCAGATCATACTGGGATATTTTTTTTCATTTCTTTTTGACAGATATGCCAGAATATATCTGAAATACTGAAACCTTTAAAGGCATTTGTCAAGACATTGACTGCCTCACTAGATGTTAAGTACTTCTTAAAAGGGAAAACTTTGTAGGAGGGAAACAGAAAATTACTTTCATATGGTCAGGACTATAAATGGGATTATTTTCTTGGGGAAAAACTTTATAAATGGAAACTTCTTAATATACTAAGAGACTGAATTTAAATACCTTTCCTCTTTGAAAATGCCATGCCATGATCTTCGTTATTTATTATATTTCTAAAGTGCTTTTCTTCCCAGGAAGCTCATTACAAACTGTCTCCTGACCAGATTTAATTCAACTCCTGTGCAGGGCAACCACCCTTCAAAATGCACCAGCAATAGATAAGGGCCCGCAACTGGAGGCCAGGAGTTGTTTTGCATGGATATTGCATTTGATAAAGTGTGACACCATTGTTTATCATTAAGGATTTAAATTCTTTCATTCTCTCTCATAGTCTCACTTATGAGCTTGATTCAAACTAAAGGAGAGAAGTTGTAGATTTCTAAGAAAGTGGGCTTCTAATGGAAATGCTGACAATCCATTAACAGCAGGAGGGCTAATGGCTGCCATGAAAAACATACTTAAAGATTATAGTAATAAAAACACATATTTTAAAGTGCCTGCTAGAAGTTCAAGAGTTTCTTTTTTTAAAATATTGCTGTTAATAATAGGCCATCCAATCCTTTTGGCATTTGATTTTGTCTCATAAATGGGCTTAAACGAAGATAATGTTGTACTGCACTTTTTTTTTCTGTTGATTGGGGAAGGGGGTTGGTTGTCTTTTGGCAGAGTTATCAGTGCCCTTAATGGAAGGTAAATAATTGGTATATTTGTAGATGTCTGGAATTTTAAATCTGAAAAGGTCTTAGCGATCAGCAACTCATCTCTTGTATCTGCTCTGCAGCAGTTTTCAACCTGTGGGTTGCGACCCCTTTCTAACAATGAAAATACATCATGGCATTAGGAAAGTTGAGAACCACTATGCTAGAGGAAACTTAGGGCTCTAAAAATAGTGGGGTTGGAGCTTAGAAAGGAAGAACGAGTGCCCAGGGGAGAATTGATGATGTGCCTGTGGCCTTCATATTTTCTAATGTGAGAACACCTGCTATTCTGCCTATCTCTTTGCTTGGGTTTCCTGAGTTCTCTTTCTTTCTTCCTAATATAATGGAGGTTTTTAACGATAAAAGCAATATATATTCATTAGAGAACTATTAGAAACGAGAGAAGAGACAACAAACCACCTGCAGCCTCATCACCCAGGGAAGTCACTGTTCATATTTGGGGGTATCACCCCCATCTATTTTCCATCTACATGTGTATATTTTCCTTCCACAAAATTGAGATCATGGGGCCAGGCATGGTAGCTCACACCTGTAATCCTAGCACTCTGGGAGGCCAAAGCAGGTGGTTTGCTTGAACTCCCAGCCTGAGCAAGAGAGAGACCCTGTCTCTAAAAATAAAAAAACGAGCCAGGCATGGTGGCAGGTCCCTGTAGTCCCAGTTATTGAGGAGCCTGAGGCAAGAGGATCGCTTGAGCCCAGGTGTTTGAGGTTGCTGTAAGCCATGACGCCATGGCACTGTACTGAGGGTGATGAGGTGAGACTCTCAGAAAAAAAGAAGATAAAAACAAATTGAGATCATGAAGAATATACTGTTCTCAAATCACTTTGACTTTGTAATCACTCATGAATATTTTCTCAAATGATGAGATATTCTTTAAAAACTTGATCTGATCAGCTGCTTAGTAGATTTCCCTAACCTCTTTAGGAAGTTTGCAGTTTTATCTGTTATGACACTGAATTGAATATCTATATACCAATAAATATTTATTTACATCTCTGGTTATCTGCTCAGGAAATAAAAGTTGTTTTTTTGTTTTTTTTTTGCCAGGGCTGGATTTGAACCTGCCACCTCCAGCATATGGGGCTGGTGCCCTACTCCTTTGAGCCACAGGCACCACCTGGAAATAAAAGTTTTAAAATCTATTATCAAATTAACTGTCAGGAAGATGTTACTATTTTATCCTCACATCAACAGTGATGTGAATTACTTTTCTTAAGCCCTCAATAGTCACTATGTATTTTTTAAAGTTATTAATCTGATATATATTAAAGATCTCATTTCAATCAACATTTCTTTGATGACTAGTCATGTTGAACTTTTTTTTATAATTCATTCATAGATTTCTCTTGTGACGTGCCATATGCCCATTTTTTCTATTAAAGATTTTACTGCCTCCTTTTTGAATTATAAGCTCTGTTTTTATACTAAGATCTATCATTTGTAGTTAGATGTTACAAAAATTTTCCTTTTTAAAATTTACCTTTTGTCCTAGTTTGTGGTTTTCTTGAGATACAAAGGTTTTAACATTTTTATGTAGTCAAACAATCTTTGTTGTCATAGTTTCTTTCTTTGATTTTATGCTTACACCCAAAGATATTTCTAAAACACAAATCTGATCATATCCCACTCCTGATTAAAATCTTCCCAGGGTTCTTGGGGAGGAAATTCAGCCTTCTAGTGCTCCAAGCCCAGACACTTGCTACTCCATGGGCACTTGACGTTCTGGTCACAAGCCACTTGGATTTCATACTGTCTACTTAGTAGCCTTTGCTTGGAAAGCCCATTCTCTTCCAGCTCCACACACCCACTCCCTGTCCCCACTTGCCTCTTCCTGTGAATTAGCAAAGACCCAGTTCAGACAGGACCACCTCCTTTACCCCCATTGTCTTCTTCCTCATCTGCCTGTGCAGCACTTGGTCCCAGAGGGTCTCTGTAACACTTTGTAAAATGAATAACCCAAATGACAAGCGAAGTCTAAAATGGCTAATAGGAGAATTGGCTCTCAGGGCTAATCTAGGATCAAAGATCAGATTGAGCTGCTGAGGGCTGAGGCTCAACCCCAGACAGCACAGGCAGGTGCTCAGAAGTTGGTGAAAGGGAGCATGGCAGGGGCTGAGAGGCAGCAGAGGGCAGGGGACAAGGCAGGCTGGCGGCCCCAAGTGGTGCTGAGGTCCCAAAGTGGTGAGCCCATCTTACCAGCAAAACCCCTTCCCATCACACAATCTTCCTCACACCAGCAAGTGACGTTGCCACTTTCCAGCTCCATAGGCCCGAGACTGGAGTCACTTGGTTCACTTCATTCCTTTGCTTCCCATGCCCTGTGTCCCCTCTGTGAGGCCTGTTGGCTCTACTGTAAAAATGCAACCAGACCACATACTGAAGATTCCATTTTGACACTAGTCAGGAAAAAGCAAAACTATCAGGACAGAAAGCAGATCTGTTGCCAGAAGCTGGGGGAGTAGAGACTCCAAAGGGTCATGAGGGAATTTGGTGGCTGGGTACTACATGCGTGTCAAAACTCATAGAACTGTATGCTAAAAAGGGTGAGTTTATTACACCTTAACAAAAACAGGAGAGAAAATGTACTGGGAATGCAACCATTTCTCACCCTCATCACTCCCATCACCCTGGGCCAGCTGACTCGTGGATTCTTATCACCATGAGCTGGATGGGCTCATAGCTGGTCTCCCAGCCAGCTGCCAGACTGGGTCTTTGGAAACAAAAAGCAGATTGTCACTCCTTTGCCTAGAACTCTCTAGAGGTTTCTCCTCTCATTGGGAACAACTGTACATGAAATAGCCCCTGTTATGGCCTGATCTCCCCCAGGTCTCCCAATGTCCCAATGTTCCCTCCTTGCCAGCCTGCCCCCTGCTGCCACAACAGCCTGCTCCTGCCCTTGGCCATGTCAAACACATCAGGTCCCCTCAGAGCTCCCTTCCCAAACTTCAATCTGGAATGTGCTTTGCCCTGATTTACCTTCCTGTGGCCCTTCCCTCATCTCTGGTCTTCCCGCGAGGCCTTCCCTGAGCACCCCATTTACAGCTCCAACCCCTACTGCCCCTGCCCCACTTGCTGGCCTGTATTTCCCACAGACCACACTTCCATCTGACACACCACACATTTTGTTCATAGTGATTCATCCTCAAATCCATGAGGACAAGATTTTTGTTTTATTTTCTGTTACCTCTCCAGTACCTAGGATATTGCTGACTGCCTGGCAAAAACAGAAACTCAATTAAATTCTGTAGATGGAAGGAAAGAGCCCTGGGAAGCAACAGTGATTGTAATCTTTGGTTTCAGCATCTTGCTGCCTCTGAATTTCATACACAGTTTTGGACAGCGTGGGATGTAGTATAAGGCTGTGTTTGTGGGCAGAGGTGTTTGGGGGTAATGACTCTCCTTCCTGCCTTTCCTTTTTGTTTTGCTGTCCCTTCGAATGCCTGAGTTAACAGATTCCTTCTCTCCAATTTCTCTGTAGAAGCAGATGTTCCAGGAGAGGAGTAGCCGGATGTTACAGGCCTTATCACCGAAGCAGAGCCCCGTGAACAGTCCAACCAGGAGCCGGTCCCCTTCCCGCTCCCCATCACCCACTTTCTCATGGCTTCCGATCAAATCCTCACCCCCCTCCTCACCCAAAGCAGCCTCAGCCTCCATCAGCAGCCTGAGCGAGGGGGATGAGGATGAGAAGTAAAGGCTGCTGGCAGACAAGAGCCGCACCACGCAGGATAGGGAGGAAGGAGGGCGGGGTCGCAGGGGATGCCTGGGTGGTGTTCAAATGATGATAATTGCAGGAGCTGCAGCTCAGCAGGGGACCCCTGGACTCTGCTAACTGCAGATCTTGGGATCAGGTCCCCTCATTCTCCACACAGCCCAAAATTTAGACTTGGCATGGAGGTTTCCAGCCAGACAACCCATAGAAAACCTTAGTATCATCTAGAATCACTCCACTTTAACCTTGCTAAGGAAAGATGCAGAGTGCTCCAGGGAGACTTGCACTGAGTGGGTGTCTCCTGCTTTGGTCCTTATACCCACCCTCACCAAGTAAACTACTTGTGGATGTAGCTGTTTCCTTACCCTGCTACTTCTGGCTCCATAAGGGCCTTGCACGTTGCCTCCTACAACCTAAGCTCTGCCAGAATAAAGTTGTTTCCGATAGAGGTGGCAAAGTGCTTCTTAAATAGTTAAGCTAAAGACAAATTCCAACCTTCTCAGTTCAGCCACTGAGACCTGACGGAGCCACATATCAGCTCTTTCTAGTTCCAGGAACGTGGCTTATAGACAACTTTGCTTTTAGGCCACTTGTAAAAGTGTGACCCTTAACTTTGTATTCAGATGACAGCTTTGTCAAGGATAGCTTCACATAAGGCCTATTGTGTTCCTGGTTGTACTTTCTCATCATTGAGTTAACTTCATTGTTTTCTAGAAATTACCTTAATCCATGGGAACTGCAACAGAGAAAAGCATCCTACATATAAAAAACAAAAAAGAATAGCTGCTTTGGTTTGGCTCCAAGTTGAGCAGATGATCAATGTCTCCTTAAGGATGCTATTCCATACACTTTTCCCATTTCTGACCAGTTAACAGTCTCATAGACCTTAAGTAACAGTTTGATGTACCAAACATATAGTATACCGATAGGGGGTGCTACCTGCACATGCTACCTATTCTATGTCTGCTCCAGTCATGCCATCTTGAGGTGTATGCCATATGCAATATGAATATATGATGGTAGCATTTTACAATATACTCCTCGCCTGCTCTCCACCCTCATCCCACTCTGAAATTCTTGGTCTAAAGAACCATGAGGTTCCCTTGTGACTTTGGCACTTTTGTCAGAAGCTTATCCCAGTTTCCTGTAGAAATGTTTTATCCCCACCAGAAAAATGAGCATATGGTTCTCGTGGCCTCTTATAACATTTTAAGGTAAATGGGGGGACTCTGAGAGGTTTTATAGGGAATAGTGGAACTTGGAACTGTTTGTTTTTGGAACTTTCTCCAGAACTCCGTAAAGCACTCCTGTGGGACAGAGAGCTAGAAGGAACATGGCATGTGGGGTGGAAACTTTTTGCAGTCAAGGCCTGCCCAGAACATTGCTCTGCAGAGTTGGGCAAAGGCCCCTTTCTTCCATTGTATCCATTTGGTCTCTGTCTTCTGTCATGCACCCGGGACAAACTGTGCATGTATGCCCACCATTTCAGTTAGCTGGCACTTGTAGCAGTGAAAGGGTTGAAAGGGTAAGACCAGCCAGTAAGTGGAGGTGGTAAAAGGAGAAAAGAGTTCCTGGAGAGAAGAAAGGAGGATGAAAAAAGTCTGCTTTCTTAAACCATTTCAGGACTTCCCTTTGTAGATAAAACTCTCAGAGAGGCCTTTCATGCTCTTACTCAATGGCCCAGGGCAGATAGATCCATAGTTATCTGAATCTTGCTCTGGAGCAGATAGTGTGGGGTTGATGTATCTTGCTGACTATAAATTTTCACGCCTTACACACCATACTGACAAGTGCCACTTCCATGACTCATCAGACAGTGCCACCATTGCTGCCAATTATGAGAAATGAACAATGCCTGGGATATTCCAGAGATGGGCCAAAACCACCCATAAGTGAGTTCTAAATCTCACCCACCTAACCTCCAGCAATACCTCCCCACCTTCCCAAGGATGCAGGCCTATTGAGAAGGAATGGAGAGGATTCTGCAACCCAACTTTTGATACTTCTTGGCCATCTCACAGTCTCTCCCAGCCCCTTTCCTGCCTCCAATTCCCTCTCCCAGGAAGAGTAGGGGTTGTACTTCCTCTGGGCTGCCTAGTCGACTGTAATGGCTAAGAGTGAGTTAAGGCTGGAATGGGAAATCTACAATATAGCGGTCCAAGTTTGGAGGAGTAAGCATAAATGACAAGAAGCAAGGAAAGAGATTGTTTTGCTCGAGCAATGGAAGGAAGTTTCAGGCTGAGGAGGCCTAGAGGATAGCAACTTAGAGGCAGCTAATGAAGATGGGAGAAAATGGGACTGAAGCTGGGTGGGAGCAGGAGGCAGTTCTTTTCTGCTCCCTTTCAAGTGTTAAGTTGCCCCCTAACAGGTGAAGAAGGAAGGGGTCCTTTAATACACATCCAAAGTAAGCAGATACCCATAAGATGTGGGGTCCCTGCCTCTCATTTCAGTGCTTATGGGGACCCCAAAAGCAAACATTCACCCCTCCACCAGCTAAGAAACAAGGGCGGGATTTTTATACCACAGTCACATTGAATGGCTCATTCCTGACAAATGAGGAGGAGGGTGACTTGAGACATCAGCCTGCCTGTGCACGTGGTCTGGGTGGCAGAGACGCAGCTGAGGGGCTTCAGTCTTGCTCTATGCCTTAGGCTACTAGATACTGTGACTCCACCCCTTGAGGGATGGGAAGAACGTGGATTTATTTTCTTTCTATTTTCAGGACTTATTTTAGCATCGGTCATACTGCAGGGAGGGATGCTAGACAGTGTTACTGGCTCCACTGAGGCAGATGAAGCTGCATCCAGCGGGGATGTGCCTGTTTCTCAGGCATCTGTGGAGCACTAGTCTTGGCCATTAGATTGTTTGAAAAAAAAATAGCTCATGAGGCTTTTGCAACTTCTCCTCTCTAGACTCTTTAGTGTTTTGTTGTCACTGCAATGTGTCTGGGGACAAAGCCATAAGAAAAGCATACGTATTTAATAGACTGTGCTGTACATAGACTAGAAGATAAGACAAAGATGACCTTATGCCCAAGCATTTGCTCTGGTGCTGCCTAACGCAAACTACCAGATCAGCCCGCGCCTGACCCCGCACCCCTCCCCCGCTCCCAAGCAGACTATGGCATTCGCAACTCGTTTCTAAATAAAGGGATACAGAATTGCACTTTTGCGTGTCCTTTTTCTTAAAAGCATGCTGCTGTGTGCTCCTATTTATGTAGAGCTTAAGGTGGAAAAACACAGGCGTGTGGCCCCTGTTGCGGTGCACTGGCTGCCTCTGCCCAGCTGTGGCCCCAGTGCTTCAGAAGGATCTGTGCTACGTGGAATAGGGGCAAAGTCTTGGAGCTACTGAAAGGCACACATACGACTTAAAAGTTAGGAATAGATCCCCCTAGGAACAGTGTCCCCCAGTCAGGACATTGAATTCTTGGCTCCACTGCTAGTTCGTTTTTGCCAAATTTAGGTGCTTTCATATATTCCATCTGGAGAGGCTGAACTCTTTGAGATGACCACAGTTCTGACATTAGCCGACGCTCTAGCATAAATAAAGCCAGGCCTGACATCAGGAACGGAATGAATTTAAAAATGGAATATCTATTATTCATAGACCATATTACTTGGCTTTGCCACAGGGATCTAACGCACTCTTTTTTTTTTTTTTTTGAGACAGAATTTTGCTCTGTTGCCCAGTGGCTTAAGATTCTCTTGCCTCAGCCTCCCAAGTAGCTGGGACTACAGGTGACCACCACAAGGCCCGGCTATTTTTTGTTGCAGTTGTCATTGTTTAGCTGGCCCCAGCGGGGTTCAAACCCACCAGCCTCAGTGCATGTGGCCGGCGCTGTAATCACTGTGCTACAGGCACCAAAAACAATTCTAAACCATAATAAAATGCATTTTTAAGAACCTTGATATTGCCCCAAAAAGCCTTTGTATATAAAACTTCTGGAGGAAAAAGTATGCTACCAAAAAATGTTTCCAACTCACACCACACACACACACACAAACACACAGTCCTTTTGTATTAAAGTCCTCACTATCTATTGGAGTTGAATATTTATTATGCTTTTCCAGATATTCAGCAGGAGATACTGGATAAAAAGAGATGACACAATCTGACAGCTCATAAGCATCTAAGTATATGCCCTGTGATCAAGTTCTTTTAGAAACCAAGTAAAAACCTATAAATAATCAATAAAATCAGAAAATACCATTAAAAGCTCAAATATCGGTAGGTGCTAACTAACACTTTTGTTAGGCCTTCTGCACTGCCATGACTTGTATTCTAGAAGACATCGTATTGTCTAATCTCAGCTGTGCTTTACCAAACTGGAAGAATGTTCAGAGCAGGATTGACTTATGCTGTCTCCTACAAGCAGTTTCTATTCTCCTTAACTTTAAAATCTTGTGTTTTTTTAAATTTTGAGATTAATGCAAGGGTACAAACGCTTAGGTTACATTGTTTTCATTTATAAAAAGTTCAAGTTGTAGTTAAGCCCTTCACCTTGGGGGCATGCTACAACCCTCACATTATGCACAAAAATATGGAACACTTCACGAATTTGCGTGTCATCCTTGCGCAGGGGCCATGCTAATCTTCTCTGTATCGTTCCAGTAAAATCTTCCTTCAGTGGAGGGAATAAAAAATTAATCTGAAAGATTACTGTATTCTATTCATAAAGATTTCTGATGGAGGGATTAGATACAACTAAAATATTTGATATGTAACCTTCCATTTAAAAAGAATTAATGAATCCATACTTGAACGAGTTGGGATACTTTACCCTTTCCACAGGGACCTTTGCAACTTACTATACTTGCAAATAACCCTGTGGCTCTAAAATTTCCAAGTCCTAAGAAAACCTGTCATCATCTGCTATGTACATGGCAGGACATAGCCCATTACATAGTGTGTTATTCCATTTTGTGCTGCTATAAAGACATGCCTGAGTCTGGGTAATTTATTTTTAAAAATGAGGTTTATTTGGCTCATGGTTCTGCAGGCTGTATAAGAAGCATGGTGCCAGCATCTGCTCCTGGTGAGAGCTTCAGGAATAGGAATAAATTAGCGTGTTCATTTGGGCCAGACATCTCCCATTATATCTATACTATGCTTCCAATCAAGGTGGAAGGTGAAGGGGGAGCAGGTGTGTCATATGATGAGCGAGGGAGGAGAGAGAAGAGGGTGCCGGGTTCCTTTAAACAACCAGCTCTCCTGTGAACTAATAATGCAAGAACTTACTGATCATCGTGGGGAGGGCACCAAGCCATTCATGAGGGATCTACCCCCATGATCTAAACACCTCTCACCAGGCCCCATCTCCAACACTGGAAATCAAATTTCAATATGAGATTTGGATGGACAAACATCCAAGCCATGTCACACAGCTGAAGATGAGAACCAGTCTTTTTTACTTGTTTGGCTGTCATGTTCCGCTGACTGGAACATG